TAGTAGTAGTAGTAGTAGTAAGCTTTGGCTTTAGCTTAGAGGAACTCTCCCAATATCTATGGGCCGAATTCCTCGAACTGCTCCGGGGCCATAGCAAATGCCGCAGGGATGGTCAGCAAGGCCATTCATCCCGAGGATGTCCTTAAGGAGCCCGGTTTAGGGCTTTCGGATCGCCTTAGGGGTTTCAGGGCTGAGGAGGTCGCGTTCGGCGCCGTGTAAGTACCTTTCTCGTGAGGTTCGGGGTGTGAGTTTGCCGGGTTTTACAACATTCGGCCCCGTGGTCTGTTTCGAAGCAGAGCAGGAGCTCTCTTCTTCTGCAGAGCCGCGAAAATCGAAGACACTGAGACGAAGCTCAAACCTCGAGCCACCGTAGTGAAGGACCCCTGAGCTCTCAATTTTCAACCTCCCAAAAAGCATCAAACACCTAATCACTTTCGGAGCTGATCGGCCCAAACCCAGCAACTCAAACACTGTGACCTTCATCCTGCTTGAAGCTCCGTTTTGCTTTTGCAACGTAGGATTAGACGTTAGAGACCCCAAGCCCCAAACCCTAAAACCTAAAACTCTTGACCCTACGCCCTACTCCCGAATAACTCCTACCAAACTTTCAACTCTGCAACCCCCATGGGGCTTTGGTGGGCTCGCTGTTTCCGATACCCTCAGGAGGCTCGCGGTGCCCAGAGAGCATAATCCAAGATCGGGGGCCGCAAAAATCGAAATCCTACTCTGATTGCTAAGGGCCCCCCATCTTATGTATACGGCTCAATATTTGCGTCATCTTTAACCCAAATATAACCTCGGGGGTTAACAACACTTGCCAAGCGGCCGCCAGCCTTGCGGCGGGCCTCGCCATCGAGTCTCGCCTAGTTTCGGGCTCAGGGCTTACCGGATTTTGGATCTTCGGTTAACGGTTAACGTTTGCGACGGCCCAGGCAGCTGCAATAGAGGTCTCGTTTACATGTTGCAAGGAGAGGGTTGTGAGTGCGAACCCTCAGCCCCAAAACTTAAAAACCTGTACATTCATCTGTACTGGGAACCTACACAGGCTTCCTTGAAGGACCTTGGCACTTCCGTTGCGTGAGTGGGTAGGGTTTGTATTGCTATAGTGTCCCTATCGTAAGACCCAAATTCACCAATGTGCCCAAGCCTATGTACACTCGCCAACATCCCCAAACCCTAAACGCCCAAGCATAAGACCCACCTCATGTAGTGTCATAAATCTCTCACATCGGGGGATCATAGCTTCGAACTCTGCAGCTTATGAGGCTTTGGGCTTGGGGCTTCTCGTTTAGAGTTTGTGGGTTCGGGGGTTCATGAGATTAAGAGACCGAGTGTTGAATTTTAGTGCTTAGGACTGGGGGCTTTTCGGCACGGATTTGTTGGTTTCGAACTCGTCACAAAGCAATGAGGAAGTACCTCCGAAACGGTCACTCCAGAAGACAGCTTGTTGAGCTTTCCATGTGTAGAAATGCACAGTACGACTGTTGGGAAGCCTAAGCCCCTGTCACTATAAGTCTATCGCATCCATCCATCCATCCATCCATCCATCCAGGCGTGCATGCACAGACATGCATAGAAACGTCGCTCGTCGCTAGTGGCCGCAGTATGTATGATCCGACCTGCTGCCTTATGCATAAACTTGAAAGGGCCGAAAGGCCTGCAAAGGGGCTCGAGACCTAAAGTCCCCGAAGCTTCAGAAACTGTGCTCCGGGGCGCCAGTATCGATGCCCCGCGCAGACGGAGGTCCAGGCATCTTGCCAGTTCTGTGGGTCCTGTGCCCCAAACTGCAATGAAAAGCGGTTGGGTATTCACTACAGGCTTTCGGGTTTTGGGGTTTAGGGTCTGGAGTTCTGGGGTAGGCTCTGGGGTTTGGGGTTTTGGGCTCACGGTTCAGGAGGTCCCGGGGTTTTGGTGTCAAACTGTCGCTGGAACGTTCTGCGACATGTAGGCTGCACCACAGGCAACCCCCAGGCAGTGGGCGGCTGGTATCCCAGGTGCTGCCCGCATGCAGCTATGCAGCTGTGCTTAAGGGCCTCCACTGGATTGGCAGCACCAAGATGAAAAAGCCAGCCCCCCGATAAGGCGGAACGGGGTCGCGCTACAATGGATGGTGCTGGGGGCCCGAGCTGGTGGGCTTCCGGATCGAGCCCCTCTGCCGTGTCGGCCACCGGATGAAGCGCCGGGACAAGATCAGACTCAAAGAGGCAAAGGCCAGCCAGCTGGTTTGGAGTCAGGTACGACGGGCTTTCGGCCTATGTATCGTACGCGCGAACAACATGTGGACCCGGATCGTGGCCTGAGCCAGACTTGTCGCTAGACTCGACTTCCTTTGCGAACGGCCTGGCGTCGCCAGACGCAATGTTCGAGGCGCGCAAGGCATCACGCTACGTCAACTTGTCCTGGTCGCCCTGGGCAACCCCTGCGCAGTGGGCTAGGACTCGGGGTGGCTTCCGGGTGGAGTGGCCAAGCGTGCAAAGACACTTCCCCAGGCTGTGCGTGGCCAGTTATATTTGCGAGGCTCCCTTTTGAGAGGGTCCTGGTAGGGCCCTGGTATTGAGATCCTGTTCTTACTTTGCGGGTCTCAGTTGATTCAGCTGAACCTGCTGAAACTATCTCGGGCTACGAACCCCTTCCGCGAGGGGACAAGGTTCTCTCTCAGGATTTATCGAGCTTGAATCATAATACTACAGGGCCCCTTCATAACTTGAGAAAGATATTCTTGGCTCGGGATTTCAGATCTTCGCAGCGAGGAGTGGAAAAACACAAGCAGCCGAACTAAACACTGAATTTGAAGGCTTCTTGGCATTACCGGTTCATTTTTGGGTTCAGGGTGGCTCTTTTGTCTTTGAGAGGGGGGTGAAGGGCTGGGAGGGTATGGCAAGGATCCCAGTAAGTACTAGTATTTCGGGTCGATGCTGGGATTGGGGTCCATGGATTTCTGAGTTTCCCAACTGAAGCCAACTGACACTTTGGATCGAATCGTTGCCTGAGTAGGGTCAAACCTGGGTACCAAACCTTAAACACCTTGTAACTACAAACTTTGAACTCAAAGCCTATAAACCATGAACTGAACTCTACAGACCCTAATCGCTGATCTTCCACGTGCTCAAACACGGCGGGCCTTCTCCGGCTGGAACCGTGAACCCGCCGGAGAACAAACCTGGTCGGGGCTCCTATCAGGGGTTTCAGATTTACGGCTACTTCATAAGCCTGAAAAAAAATACGAATGCTAGTCCTTGGAGTATATATATATAATAGTGATTTTAATGAGGGCTCTGGAAACGCCTATCGAAAACTGCCAGGCCTCAGATTGCCCATACTCAAAACCTACCGAGCCCACAAGAATGGACGCATGATCGAACTTCCCACCTGCTCAAGGGCCTTGGTTTCCGAAGCTTACTTGGAGGTTCATGGGTAGCTATAAGTGGGGATATAAGTAGGGTAGCTATAGTTACAACCCATATTAGGGGCTTATAACCCCACTTATGACTACCCATGAACCTCAAAGTAACCCCCTTACAGGCACACGCGCGCAGCGTGGCCGAGCTTCTGGCAACACATGCAGCCAAGGTACCTTGAACCACTTTTCTGCTTCTGGCAGTTCCTGACCACCCATATGCATCGTAGGACAGCGTCAAGCTAAACCCCCTGCAAACAACTAGAATAGTGTAGCAGTGCGACTACTGGCTGCCAACATTGTAATTCCATTGTTTCGCGCAGACGTCAATTGAAGCTGTTGCAAATCTTGGAAGCTCGCAAACCCGCAGAATTACAGCCCCAAAAGACCTTCCATGTAAGCGCTTCACGTGACACTACTGCTTGGGCATTATATCATAGATTTTTTGGGTAGTTGATGGTGTGTATATACATATATATATATACACACATGAATATAAATATGCAAGTATATATATATATATATTGTTATATAGAATGACTGCAAAAGGACTAATCCTACGAGTGCAAGCGGCGACCGATCCTCGGGCCGGTGGACCAGAAGAGCTGGCTCGAAGGGGCGGCGCCTGATAGGACAGGAGATGCAAAGCTCGGGCTTAGGCTCTGGGGTTTAGGGCTCAGGATATAGGGCTTAGGGCTTAGGGGATTTAGGGCTTAGGATTTAGGGGAATTAGGGCTTAGGATTTAGGGCTTAGGGCTTAGGGGATTTAGGGCTTAGGGTTTGAGGCTTAGGATTTCGGGCTTAGGGTTCAGGGCTTCGGACTTAGGGTTGGTTTAGGGTTTACGAGCTTACGGCTTTGGACAGGTTTAGGGCTCAACGTTTAGGGTTGAAGGTGTCTGAAGCTTCCGTGTTTAGGGAACCAAGGTACCTCATTAGTTGGAACGAATCGAACCAGACTGATTCCAACTTCATAGCACCAAAGAGCTGCGAAGCGCAAGAGCCGAACCTCCCCAAATCCCAAACTCGTTGACCCTGCAATACCAAAGGTCACAACCCTGAACCCCCAAACTACCTAAGCCCAATTCCTGCGCAAACCGCCCCCCTGAAGCTAAGGGCTCTTGCGACAGCGATCCCTTGTCAAGCTTCCTAGATAAACCCCAGAATTCTAAGAGGAACTACAGTACACAAGAAAAAACAAGGGTACTTGTTCGACTGGTAGCGTGTGAAGGCAAAGGATTCAAGGTACACGTGGCAGGAAGCAAGTTGTTCGTCATAACCATATACAAACACAAGTGTACATTAGACAGCGTATGCATATACCTTTACTACATGTACATGAAGTCGCTTGAATGGGGCTCATGCCATGTCTTTGCGGATCTCGGACCTAATGTTCTTGTCAGCAGGTTGTTGACACAACGACGAGCAAAGCTGTAAGGTTTAGGGTTAGCCATTTCGCGCTTCATGAGGACAAATTCGAGCGGCAGACATAGTGACAGCACGCCCTTGCGAACGTTGTGAGTCTCATCGCAGCCATCACCACTTGACGCGTCAAGGTGCAGCCAAGCTGAAAGCCGTATACCCTAAACCCTAAACCTGAACCCCTAAACCCTATGCCCTCTGCAGTCTGGATGGTGTCCGGCTACACTTGGGGCCGCTTCTTTGCATGCCTAGCCAAGGACCCCCAAATGGAGCACAGGACGACTCCGAGACCCTGAGACATCAGCCCTGGATCCGTAACTTTTCGCCTGAAGCCCAAACCCCAAGCTGAACCACCTCAGAACCGAAACCTTAAGCTATGATCTACGCCTGTGATTCCTGCTGCAGGGACTCTTTACGACGCGGGGTCCGAACCACAAGTGGTCTCCCCGTGTGCTGGTAGCAGAGTTGCAGAGCATCCAGACAAGCTCACATTTGTCACAAAAGGTGGTTTGCAGGAGGCATTCAACAAGGGGGAACCACCAACCCGGCCAGCTCTATGACAGCCGCATCAAAAAAAACACCAGCTCTGCGCATCGAGAGCATCGAGAGGGAGCTCCAAGCTTTCCTCCCTGAGCCTGCCACTCCTCGAAGGCGACGAAACACTCAAAGGGGCGAAAGTGGTTTTTCTCAACAACCCTTGCGACGGTCTCGTGGTCCACTCAAGCCGATTAGGCCCTAGACCCTGAAAGCCCTATATCCTTTAAAACGAAACCCTTGAACCCTCGAAGGGTTGAACCTTTAAAGACATAACCATACCAATCCCAAGCCCGTAAACGGCTAAAGCCTCAAGTTCAAACCCATCAAACCCTTACATTTGTTGATCGCTGCAACTCTCCGAAGCTTTAAGGCACCCTCTGAAAAGCTGAACTGCTCATCGGCAATCAAAGGCCAAGGCTTGGCGATGAGATCACCGGTGAGGTGGTTCAAGGCCAGCGTGCCGAGAATCAACTGGCAATTTCGCAGGTTTAGGCTGTGGGTTATATAAAGAGGTTTCAGGCTTTTGAAAACCGGGTTCTTTTGCATTTCTTTAGGGGTTTAGACTTCGGGCTTCGGGCTTCGGGTACCCATTGCAGTGTAGCCTCAACTACAAAAAGGGTCGCTGTTTTGACGGGCTAGAGGATGGCTTTGGTCCCTCGGTAACATGAGAAATCCCTTGTTGATGGGGTATATTGTGCTTTGGCCTTCGCATTTCTGTGGGGCCCTTGCAAGTGGCAAGGTAAGCCCAATAATCAGCTGGCAGCCGTGGAACTCAGTCGTACTGCTTTCGGCTTGAGGCTCAGTGTCTTGGAGTTTGGAGCTCTAGGGCCTAGGGCTTTTTCAGGTTCACAAGACTACATTACGCCATGATACACGACACGGAATCTTACGGCCTCGTTGCGAGGGTCTGATCATCGTGCAGCCCTGGGCCCTGGGACGCCTGAAGAAGTTGAAACCTGCGGTTTCTGCGAATGCCCATCTTGTAGGCTTATGACTGTGGGATCTACGCTATGATTTACTAAGGCCTCTGCTATTGCTGTTGCCGCTGTTACTACCATTCTTGTTATGAGTATTGCAAGTATCGTTATGAGCAATAGTATTTGAGTATGTCAAACCATGGCTTTCCAACGTGGAGTGCATGGTGCAAGGGCTTCGGGAACTAGACTAACACTTTGGAGCCGGCTTTAAGCCTTATATCAGGATGTGAAGGAGATAGTACGACTGGTATTCTATATTAGTGACCCTGTCGTGGTAGAGGCTGTCGCAAGGTAAATAAAAGGCCCACGTTCTTGATTCAAAGCAAGCATGCACCCACGAATCATTACTTGGAGGTGCACGGGCAGTTATAAGTGGGGTGAAAAGTAGGGTATAACTCTAGCTATAACCCATACTAGGGGGGCTTGTAACCCCACTCATAGCTACCCATGAACCTCCAAGTAGGAATACGCAATCAGCCAGGCACAGGCACCTGGCCTTCGACCGCAAGATGAAGACGTCAGCTCTAAGGGCCGTAAGCAACCCCCAAAATCGGGCAGCCTCAGCCACAATATGCCTACAATGCACTATAAACCGCTTTGGTATACCACACTAGGTTATATTTTAGGCTCTAACACACAAGTGCGCTTCATGACAACACACACACACACACTA